TGTCCTTTTTCAATATGCCTAATAAGACGAAAAAGTGACTCACTTGTTGATTGTATGCTGTTATTAGCCAGAGGGTCCCAAAGGGAGACACCACAAGCGCCACAGTGTCGTAGGGAGTAAGACTTAAGATATTTTTGGGTACATACTGTAGATGTTATTTGTCAACAACTGTATCTTTCATAATATTATAAGAAAAAATGAACACAAAGAAACATTAGAATTGCTAAAGAGCATAAAGGGGCTGAGATACCAAAATAATAAATGATATATAGTTACTGCTGATGCTGAAAGAGTCTACCACAGATAGGCCGAGTTAAAAATGTAAATGATACTGCAACTAAGTCTTTATGGGAGCTAGCGTTCCCCTTATTTTTTGTCCCCCATCGCAGAGTGAAGAGGGGGAATTGTAAATGCCCTCTGTTCAAATTGTGAGCGTGATAATTTGAAAAATTGTGTGTAGGCATAAGAAAGATCATCAAAAATTAGGTTGCAAAGTCAAAATCAAAGATGGCTGCCACCAGATATATGTATTAATGTAAACCTTGTAAGCTGTATATCTTCAAAAATAAGCAATAACATATAGGGACTGCAGAGGACTTGGTGGTGGTGTGTGTGTGTGTGTGGGGGGGGGGCTCTGAATGTTTGGGACTTCTAGAAAAATGATCATCCAGAGAAGAAAAGGTGAGCGCTGCCATGAGTCTTGTGTCATCCCAACAGTGAAGCATCCTGAGACCATTCATGGGGTTGCTTCTCATCCAGGGGAGTGGTTTCTAAGTTTTTGCCTATTAACACCGCCATGAATAAAGAATGGTATCAAAACGCCCTTCGAACGCAACTTCTCCCAACAATCCAGGAGCAATTTGGAAATGAACAGTATTTTTCCCAGCATGATGGAGCACCATGTCACAAAGCAAAAGTGATAATTAAGTGGCTCGGTGAGCCAAACATTGACATTTTGGGGCCATGGCCAGGAAACGTCCTAGATCTCAATCTTGAAAACCTGCGGTCAGTCTTCAGAAAGAGGGCGGACAAATAAAAACCCAGAAGAATGGCAAGAATGGGTTGCCATCACTCAAGATTTTGCCCAGAAGCTGATTTCCAGCATGTACAGTCAACACTATAAGTATTAAGTCTTTGCTTAAACTGGACATATTTGTGAATAAAAAGCTTTAAAAAAAACGTGGAATGCATTTTAATGTGCTTCACCCTAGAAACATCTGACAAAACTGTCTGGAAAAAACAAAAAACGAAGGCTGCAAACTTTGTGAAAATCAAAATTCGTGCCATCCTCAAACTTTTGGCCACGGCTGTAAGGACGAGAACATGTTTCAGAAGAACTTTACTAAATCAAAAATATTAGACATTAACAAACAAAAAAATGGGCAAAAAAATAAAAAAAAATCCTGAAAAGCATGGCATTGTGTGTGTGCTTCACACAAATACAAACCTGATTATGACATAAGTGTAATCCTAAAACCAAGTCTTAAAAATCATTTTGTATATCTGGTGAGCTCAGTTTAGTTTCCTTGATTACACAAAAACCCACAAGTTGGTTCTTTCAACTATTAGACCTTAGCATATAATTAAAAACAAAACACAATAGATTTTTTTGTTGTTCTCATTAAAATGTTTCATTTTTATAATTCAACTTAAACCGAAACCCTACATTTTACCATCCATCCATTATCTTTATCTGCTTTTTCCTTTTCGGGTCATGGGAGAGTCAGTGGTGACCATATGCAGCTATCACTGTGTGAGAGGTGGGGGACACCCTGGACTGGTCTCCAGTCCATCACAGGGACACAGAGACAACCATTCACTCTCTCACTCACCTAGGGACAATTTAGAGTTCCCAATCAGCCTAACATGCATGTTAGTCTGTGGGAGAAAACTGGACTACCCAGAGGAAACCCACGCATGCATGGAGAGAACATGCAAACTCCATCCAGAAAGACCCCCGGCCGGGGTTTGAACCAGGACGACCAGCTCACTGAGAGGCGGCAGCTCTACCAACTGCGCCACCGTACTGCCTAAATTTCACCCATAACCACAAATGACGTTCCTCTCTATTAGGACCAGATTTAGGTTCACAAAAGAACTGCTGGTCATGACAAGATGGGAGTGTGCACCAGAACATGTTCTAAAAATAAATAAATAAAATAAAATAAAATACATACACATTCAGCAGTGAGGAAAGAAAAGGCAATGTTATACTGTACAAGCAGAAATAATGAATGAAAGCCTCCAGATGAAAGTTTGGCATTGGTTGTTCTAAAAAAAAAAAACAGACCATGAGTTTGAATTAAAACAAAAATATTTAATCTAATTCCCAAAAAACATTTTCTATCTCGCTGCAAGTGACAGAGTTCTTTTAGACTTGTGCAAAGCTGGGCTTTCAAAAACAAAATTTTACTCGGACACCAAAAATGCTGATTATTTATTTTAACAACGTCTATGCAGGCATCGATTTTCTCCTGCTACTCTGGTTGCACAAACCAAAAACATCAAATGTTAGGTTAATTAATAATTAATTTGTCCCTAGGTGTGAGTGAGAGTGAATGATTGTCTCATTTGTGTCTCTGTGGTGGACTGGAGACCTGTCCAGGGTGTCTCCCACCTCTCGCACAGTCATGGCTGAATATGGGCACAATTTTAGTTTTAAGCAAAAAATTATACAAATGGTGAGGCTGTGGCAAAATAAACTAGGTTCCAGTTTGCTTATTTTAAGCAAACCTTAAGCATGTTTGTTTGCTTCAAGCTAAAAAGGCTGACTTACCGGTAGTCATCGTCCCGTTGTGATTTTATGTGGACTTTTGTCAAGATGCAACATAAAACTTTACACTTCAGAACAATGTTTCTTCAGGAAAATCTGCGTTGGTTCAGGCAGCCTGGTCAGATCAAAGGTGTCTAATTTATTCCATAATGTGGCAGACAACTGCATTCATCTGAGCTTGATTACATAAAAAAACAAGCGCTTTCATCCTGAGGTAGATAATTGCATCTTGGAGTTATTGCAGCTGTTTTGCGGTTGGAGGGTAACACATTCTCACTCAGTAGTTGCACAAACATTTTCTCCCTGTTATTCGTATAAAAGATGGGATAATAGGCTGCAGGTCGTCATTTAAGGTCATTATTTAGAAGCAGGGGGTGTAAAATTACAACAACGCATTACGTTTAAACTAAAATCTATAAATAGTTTGAAGCAAAGTTCAGCAAAGGTATATGCGATTATCAGTTTGTTATTTGCAGTGCATGTAAAAACAGGTCATCGGTCACAATAAATGTGCACACAAGTAAAAGATAAAGGTGCAAATATAAATGTATTACAAAAGCAGAGAAGCAGTGAGTGCCAGAGGGAAGATTGAGCTGAGCGGAGCTGTGGAGTGAGCTGCTGTTTGAAACTAGTAGCAGAAAGGCAAAGACAAATCTCTAGCTGTTTTGTTGTTGTTGTTGTTGTTGTTGTTGTTGTTGTTGTATTTTTTAAAATACCATTTTATTTTCACTTGTTTGAAAGAGTAATTTTAAAAAATCTCAATTTGTACGCATCTTTTATGATGGTTTATTATTATGTTCCTTGAAAATATGTTCTATAAATGAAGGAAAATATAAAACAATGTATATAATATTTATAATATATGTAATAATATATTATATTATAATATATTGCATATGTGAAAAATCCCCTCCTTTGTGAAGTAAGAACATAAAATTGTTGTACATTTTGATTAAAAACTGAAAACCTGAAACTGAAAATGTGCAAAACAACATCAGGAATAGGCATCAGAAAAAAAATCTAAAATACTGATTGAAGTAATTTTTTTGAATAGTTTTACTAGGATCCTTTTCTTGTTGTTACTGTAAAAGGGGACAACTAATAGTGGTCGTAGTGAAATATTGATTGCTGACACACACGAACAAGCATAAAAATTCAACGTGTTTACACGCAAAAACGTCATCAAAATTCTAAAATATATTAACAGCAGTTTCAATTCACAATGAAAATAACATATTTTATAAATTGTCCAGTTAATTTGTTTTTTGTTTTAATGTGTTACAATATGACAGTTTGGTTGGTTGACTGCCTGGTTAGTTGGTTAGTTGGTTGGCTGGTTGATTGGTTGGTCAAGCTGTTAGTTGGAGGACTGGTAGCTCTGTCTGTTGGTGGATTGTTTGGTCGACTGCTTGGTCAATCTGTTGTTGAGTTGATTAGTTGGTTTTGTCAGTTGATTTGTAGGCTGGTTGTTTGGGTGGTTGGTACATCTATTGGTTAATTGATCTCCATGTCAGAAAATAGAAGGTTTTGTCAGATATTCCCGAGCTTACGTTTTCATCCAAGATTTATGATGTTGAGCAGGAAGAATGTTCATCATAGAACCCAAAAATCAGCAGTTTGATCCTTAGGCCATCCTCATCCTCAATGTTTCCTCAGCTATAAATCCTAAATTTCCCCAGATATGTTAATTCATGTGTTGTGTGCGAGTGTAAATGAAAGAAACACATTTAAACTGATCTGTAAAAGGGAAAATCATCAATCAATTATCTCCACAAATGAGGATCATAAAAATGATTTTTTTTTTTTAATGATACATATAATTTCAGTTTCTCTTTGAAGGCATTTGTGCAGTAGTAGTAGGTTGCAGGGGAGTGCTTCACTGTCAGCAATAAAAATGCATTAAAGGGATTTATTTTTGTTGACAGGCATAAAGTAAATGAAACTGGTAAACTTGGAAATAATTGCTGCACTTGCTCTTATCTGGACATTCTTCGTGACCTTTTAAAGTTCATACAGATTAAACACAGTTATTCTATGCACAACCTAACCTATTCTTATTGTATATATAGTCCATACTGTGTGCAGCATCCCATTAACAGCAGATTTTACAATGGAGCTGCTGATAACGCTACAATTATGCTATAAACCTGCCAACCATTGATATACATTGTAACATGGACTTCCTCTCTTGCTCATTGTGCTCTATTCATGGTACGTTATTAAGGCCATGAGTGGCAGTGCTATAATAACTGACCAGATTATATCAGTCAGCACCCACAGGGCACCCAACACTCCACCTCATCCTACCATCACTCCCTCCTGCTACCTGCTTCCCTCACACAGTCATGTGCCATTGTTCAATATTGATGAGATTAACCTTGAGGAAATCCCCCGCAGCTTTAAAACGGAGACCGTCAGTCTGACAAGTGCAGCCAAAGTAAACACCGGTAATCAGCCAATTTGTCCCCTTAATGCCCACCTGACACCTTGCTTGATGAGGAACCAGGCTGTCTGAGTGTAAATCTAGAATGGGATTGGAACTGAGACTGGGAATACTGTTAGGAGCAGTATAGGCTTCCTCACTTCATCCTGTATTTGAGACGCTGTCCTTATTTCAGCAGGAACCCCCTACTGGGTGAGGCAGCGCTTTTCAGAGAATTCAACAGCACAGCATGGCCAACCATGCTTTTCTCTGTGGGTCTGGTGTGAGAACAAATCCTGCATACTGGATTCAATGGGCTTTTTACAGGAGGGAAAATGTTCAACAAAGACTTGGCCCAGTGAAGTGAAGAATCTAACATGGGTGCAGTTAACATGTTAACCTGTGAACTTTGCTTGACTCCTTTTTTAGTTGTTATAAAAGTCCCAATTTATAGTCCTCAGCTGTCTGCGTGTCAAAAAATGTATTAACCTTATAAGGATAAATGAACCAAAGGTCTAACCCAGTGCCACTGGGAATACCATACCCAAAGTGGGTTGAACATCTTATGCTGTGTGCAGATTTCTTAGTTTTAAAAAATACATTTTAAAACATTTGATTTTAAATCTCTCATCTAAAAGCCAACAAAAATAGAACATTTTTGCTGTAAATTCCCTGGTGAAAGAATGTTGTGCTGCTAAAAATAAAATAAAATAAAAAAAAACAATCCTGAGTACGGCTCAAAGGAGGGAATATTTGGGTTCCACATATTAAACTTGAAGACGTTTCACTCAAAAATACAATGGATGTTGTGATGCACACTGCCCATTGTCTATTGTCAGATTTCCACAACCTCACCCCATGTTACCCCATAACACACTCCTTCACCTATTACAGGAAAAAACACGAAACAAACTCACTAATCTCTTAACTCTTTCTGTTTTTAAAAACATCCCCATTGTGAGTGCTTTAGCCTTGCAATGCAAGGTGGCGGGAGATGACGTTTTGTAGAGAACAATGACGGTATCTTGTGTTGACAAGTGGTCGGACCTCTTGCTTTCAATGATTTTCCACCAATTTACCTGGTTTCACTTGCATAATACTGCATAAGATTTATTTCACCAGTATATGAGGTGTCCAGTCAGACTTTAGATCCCTCTCAACGTTATGTTGTAGATTTACCCTGAGCCAAAATAGTTCTAGATATACAGAGGATCAGTGAATAACGGTGGCTAAAATAACACAAACATCTCCGATTCTAAATGGATACTTGTGATAAGAACTTTCTGGGTTAGAATCCCCAACTTTTTTTTTGTGACAGCAAAAGCAAAAAAGGGAGGCGATGGTTGAAGAGCTATAAGAAGTTCTGCTGAAGATTTGCTTTATATTTGGATTGTTGGACTGTTCAATGCTGATCTTATGACCAGTGTTCCCTCTAAGCTGCGCGCCTGCACAATCGCGCACTGCTCGCACATTCTCTGTGCACAAGAAAATCTATGCTGCCCAGTTGCAAACTGGCCACAAGGTTATCTCCCGTTTTATAATAAACTGTCAGCCTGAGTGTAGCGGTCTGTTCAGGCTGTATGCAGGGCCTGATTCATGCAAAGTGAATGAAGGATCCCCCCGTGTCACGTGATTTGTGTAGCGACAACAGAAGTTTACAAAGAGGTAAAAAAGTCAACCAATGAAATCGCAGGCGAACTTTCATTCCAACCAATCAGCGTCTTCTGGAGTTTTAGCACTGACATGTAAACTAAGTTCAATTAAGCTACGTAGCTACAAGCAACCTTGACTTCTTGCACTTTTCCAAGCTTTAATACTGCATATTTCATCCCATACTGAGGAGTAATAGTTGACATTGTGGATTTATCAATGAAGTTTAAGGTCGTACCACGTCAAACAAAGGTGGTAAGTAAGCTAACCCCACGACTTGTAGCCATTTTTATCATGCTAAGTGTTAGCAAACTGTAATACTCTGTGTATATCTGGATGGTCAAAGAAAAAGTTTACAAGACAGTGGTGAGACCAGCTATGTTGTATAGTCTGGAGTTGCCACCATGTTGCTAACCATCTTCCAGAGCAGGACCCTCACCCAGACCAAAGCGGGACTCTCGCATTTAACACACCACACATCTCATGAACAACAAGATTATTGACTTTTTCATTTTAAGTGGGCCAAATCACTTTTATTAAAAGTAAACTAATGGAAATTGCTGCTGTAATTTGATTATTTTAATAAGCCATGAAACTTGCTATGATCCCAGGTTTTGAACAGGTGTGATACTGGTGTGTGGCCACAGCGTGCACATCTGAAGTTGCTCACAGTGGTCCTCAGTGCACTCAAGGAGCTTGTGTGTTTGCCCAGACACATGAAAAATTAGAGGGAACATTGCTTATGACTGTTGGCAACAAAAATGTTGTTTTGTTTAAGTCCAAAGGTGTGGATACACTGGCAGACTTTCCTAGAAGAAATGAAAATACACTGTAATGGTCAAAATCAGTAGGTTTATGGCTTTGAGTCATCGCATACACCCATTGATGAATAACGGAATTGTTCAGAAAAAGAATGACTACTTGTCCCCTTTGTTTCATTACTTTGTCTTTTAGGATCTCTCCATTCCGACCCCATCCACCTGCACATTCTAACGAGGTGATCACATCACTCAAATACAAGACTGTGATCACATCGCATGCCTGGCCCATGTGTACATTTTCCTTTCTTTGTTGGTCTGCAGCTTAGCGCACACACAGAGGCTCGGGCTGCTTCCTGCAGGCAAATGCAGGGAGGTGTGTTTCCAATTATAAGCCTTATCCAGGGTTAAACACACTAACTGCTGGCCACCGCAGCCACCAAGATTTATTATACCAACGCTCATGCATCCACCCCTAAAAGCCACTGGAGAAACAAACTTTTCCACTCTCCGTGGCTTTAAATCAGAACAGAATGCCTGTTGGCTGCGAGTTGCTCTCATATTGATCGTGTTGCGTAGTTCCAGAGGTGAGAATACAAATCTCAAGAATCAGTGTTTTACTTTTTAATTTGTTTACGCTTGTTTCTTTTGTGTGGTAATCTCATCTCATTTCACAACACAAGTGAAAGTGTTAATGGACTCTGACTCTACCCCTGATTATTTTCATCCTTTACTTTGTTTGAGGATAGATGAAACTGGCAACATGTTCTAATGTATTTTTTTCTATATAACCTGCTGATGTACAACCGTAGAAAAAGCTGTCCTGAATTAGGATCTAACACATTTGGCCAGCGCCAGTTGAGGTAATAAAATCCAATCCTCTCCCAGTACTCTTTTTTGACTTAAAACATATTTACTTTTTGGAACATTTTCTGACAAGCCATTAACTTTTTTAGATTTTAAAAACACTGATTAACCATATATAGGCTGCATGATGGAATGCAGTACTTTGCCTCACAGCAAGAAGGCTGCACAATTGACTCCCAACTGGATCTTTATCACGGAGTTTGCATGGTCGCCCTGTGCACAGGTGGGCTGTGCACCTCTCTGCCCAGGTGTGAATGGTTGTCTCTGTGTAGCCCTGTGATGGACGGGCAACTGTGAGTCACACTTGTTGCACAATGACTTCTGGAAATAGACACTAGCTTTCTGTACCCATGAACAGGAATATAATTTGGAGTTTAGCAAATGAATGAATGGAGATTAACTCATTTTGACAAATGTAATGAAATGCCGACAAACAAATAAAGTAACTCGTTAAGCATATTTATTTGTAAGATACAGTAAGGATTATTTTTGTATATATTTTGTTGTTTTTGTAGTAATTGTACATTAATGTAGCTGGAAATCTCAATCACAGATGAGCATTCTGACATCATTAAAATTAAACTGGTTACAAAAATACTCAAATCTAGGTTTCCAACACATTTAGGATGCTGTTAGATGCAAAGCTGGAGAACAACAGCACTGGGTGGCTGTGTGCACCTGTGTTTAAGGCAGGATTGAGATGCCCCAGTCCCATTCCCCATTGTTTTAATCACAAACCATTTTGTTTTCTTTGCTAATTTTTCAGTTTATTTGCTGGAATAGATTCTTCCGTCATCCTGGAGGTGGCAAATCCAAAAAGTTAAAAAGAAAAAAAAAAACAAAGCAAACTGGACTTTTATTCTATAGCAGAAGACGTTTCACTTCCCAAAACTCCATACTCTCCAGTTTTGAACGGAGAAAGCTAAAAAAGAAAAATGTCTTCAATTACAAAATACAAGTCCAGTTGCTTTGGTTTTAAAACAGTTTTTGGATTTTCCGCTTAATTGCTATTAAGATTCTAGATCAGATCACAATATGGTTGCAGATGTTTTACATTTTATTAGCTTTAAAGTCAAGTTAAATCAAGACAAATAGTTCACAGTCTACATGCGCCCGCCCATCCTGATCATCAACCAAAAACAATAAAAAATTAATTTGCCACATAATTTAAAGCATGTTTTTAAATCCAATTGGACAGTGACTTTGAGCAAACAGTATATATAACTTTTTACTCATTACAAGGGGCCCTGTTGTGCCAATAGTCCTTGGGATGTGTCCAGATTACTCTTGTGGTAGATTTAATCCAATTCAATTCAGGTTATTTATATAGCGGCAAGTCACAACAGAAGTCATCTCAGGGCACTGAACAAATACATTCACATACATAAAAATTAAATTAGTAACATTATTTATCTATGGTAGGGTAGTCAGCAGATTGTGTTGTCTTCATTTCATCTCAGTCTCCCATCCTGAGCAAGCACAATGGCAACAGTGGAAAGGAAAAACTCATTTTTAACAGGAAGAACCAGGCTCAGGACAAGCAACCATTTGCTTTGACCAGCTGGGTTTGAGAAGAACAGGAAGGAGGAACACTTACACAATGGCAGGTCCAGAATGGAGGCAAGAAGGTCCCTTAGGAGGAAAGACAAAACAACAACCAAAAAAAACATTAAGATCGAAATAATTGCAAATATAAATTATTCTATTCATTTTATGAAATTAGGTAAATCAGTCCTCCAGTAGTCTAAGA